AATCTACAACTTGACTGCAATGGTTGTGAAGACAACAACTCCCATGATCCCACACTGCTTCACCACCTCATCAAACTTATTAAACTTCAGTCTGGATGTGAGAGACCCCCTACAGTGGCAGTCAATATATATCATATGTTTAAGTATGTTGCTCTCTCTTTCCTTTTGTGTGCAGGTAGCAAAAAGTGAAGCTAACACACACACACACACACACACACACAGATATATACTTTGAAGGCACAACTGCACTGAAGTGCCCAACAACCGACAGGAGAGAGAGAGCTGAAAGGAAAAAGACAAAGAGGTAGAGAGCTGGTGGACTGAGCGGCAGCACACAGAGAGCCAGATGTAAATGTTAGGAGGTTAAACAGGGAGAGAGGAGGAGGAGGACAGAGAGGAGGAGAGAGGAGAGGTCAGTAGATCAACATTTACTCTGTCTGTAGCTCTCAGTGCATCTCACATAAATCAGCAATTCTTTGGACAGAGTTGAAACACCGGGTCACATGTAAAAAGATCCTCTCTCTTTCTCTTTGTTTCTCTCCATCTACCGATCTCACTGCGCTCCTCGCAGGTTTTTCATCTCCGTCTGTCAGACAAGTTGAACACTGAAAGCTTCCAGAACGGCAACAATAAAGCACAGAGGGTCACAGGTGAGGTGTCAGGGGTCAAAGGTCGGTCACCACCTGCTTTTCAGTGGCCATGAACAGCATTTAACCTCAGACAGTGCAGCTATTACAACTTCATTCTGTGTTCGAGGAGATTTTAGTGCAGATTTTAATCTTTTAGTCAACATCACAATGAAAACCAACCGATCAGGAGTGGACGGAGCCAAAGAAAGAAAGCTCTAAGAAGGCATTGAACTGCATCAACTTGTCTCAGCAACTAACAGTTGGGTCGACTGTTAGTGGCGATGTGGCCCGAAATAAACTGGAAACTCATTTATCCATTAGAACAGCAGAACAAAAACGTGAGGGGTTACAGTGCAGATCAGACTCGGTGCGGAGCAAAGATCAAGTTCAAAGTGCAGACGGTTGAAGGTTCTGTTGCCTCTGGACCGTCCCACACTCTGTTGGCTACAGCTAGCTCACAACAGTTAGGTCACTCACCACCAGGTTTCCGATGACCATGACCAGCATGAAGACGAGGATGCAGAGCGGCTGACCTGCGACCTCCATGCAGTCCCACATGGTCTCAATCCACTCGCCGCACAGCACCCTGAAGACGATGAGGAAGGAGTGGAAGAAGTCCTTCATGTGCCAGCGAGGAAGAGCGCAGTCCTTCGAGATCTTGCACACACAGTCCTGGAGGAAGGAGGGAGCAGACACATCGATTGTACCGAACCTATGAGTGACATCAAGACTGTATCTTGGTGAGAGGTCAGAGGCGTTACCTGGTAGTTTTTACCAAACAGCTGCATGCCGACCACGGCGAAGATGAAGACGATGATGGCGAGGACGAGCGTCAGGTTGCCCAGAGCGCCCATGGAGTTACCGATGATCTTGATGAGGGTGTTGAGGGTCGGCCACGAGCGAGCGAGCTTGAACACGCGGAGCTGGAGCGAGAGAACACAGGAAAGAGACAGATTTTCAGAATAAAAGGTACCTTCACTCAAGTCGAGGTCACATTTGTCTTTTCAAGGTGACTCGATCCAGAAAGAACAAAAGGAAAAACAGAAAGAAAAGAAAGTCACAAACACGTGTGTGTGTGTTTGTTTGTGTGTTTGCCTCCAGCAGAAGCCGACAATACCCAGAGTGACACTTGGAGAGATTGACGCAGACAGACGAAGAAAAGCTTCAAGGACCCCTGTGTGTGTTTCTGTGTGTTTCTGTTTCTGTGTGTGTGTCTTGGGTCAACGCTGACGACCACCGTCCTCGTCTTGCACCTGAACCTCTCTCTTCAACGGCCAATCATCTCCTCCCGCAGAATGCTGCCATTTCATTGGTGCTTCAGCTGTCAGTCAACCAGCTCATACCAGCCAACACTCTTTTCTTAATTATATTGTCTTTTCACTTTAAAAATACCAAAGCTGTGACATTAATTTACCTTTTTCTTACCTGTTTGGTCAAAAATTCAAGATAATGACACTAAATGTCTAGAAAAATATTTCAAAAAGTTGATATATGTTGAGAATAAGTTGAAATAATCAGAGTGACAGACTCATTTCTGTCAACTAGACTGGCTCACTAGATTTGGCAACTTTTAAATCCCCTTTTGCAACTTTATAAATTTGTTAAAATAACTCTTAAACACACATTGTTGTTATATGTGAAGACATCGGATCCACGCAAAGAAGTTTATGTTGTATTTTAGCTGCTTTCCACTGAAGAGGGTTTGTAAAGATGAGCAGGCTTATTTGAAACTTTATTTAAAGGAGCAGTGTGTAGGATTTAGTGGGGTCTAGCGGTGAAGTCACAGAGTGCAACCAACTGAATACAGCTCAGCCTTCCAAGAAAAAGAAGAGCTCCCTATCTAGAGCCAATGCTTGGTGTGTCCGTGGGCTACTGTGGTACAACCCCCTGTGGAGTGACTCATTTCATCTGGGTAAGTAGCTTTATTTGGCTTCACGGGCCACTGAGCAGCTTTCATAGGAGTAAATGGAGCGCGGCCTCCAACCCTGAAAAAGGCTAAAAACGGCTCAAGGTACAGAAAACACAACAAGTCTTATTTTCACTAAAACAAGTAAAACGATGAATATTCCACTTCAGACAATAAATCCTAAAGGTTACACACCGGACCTTTAAGGAAACGTCATTCTGAAAGACTAACAAAGAAGAAAATCTGTGTAAAAAGGTTTCATGTGTTTCAGGTGTGTGTGTGTGTGTGTGTGTGTGTGTGTGTATGTGTTACCAATCTGAAGGAGCGAAGGACACTGAGCCCCTCGACGTCGGACAGGCCGAGCTCCATGAGGCTGAGGCAGACGATGATGCTGTCGAAGATGTTCCAGCCCGTCTGGAAGTAGTAGTACGGGTCTAGAGCGATGATCTTCAACACCATCTCTGCTGTGAAGATTCCAGAGAACACCTGACCAACACACAGATACACAGAGTCAGCACAACAACGACACACACACAGTTTGAGGTTTGGTGAATTTGAGGTTCAAAGCTGATGAATTGATCTTCTCCTCCTTCTACTTCATTATAAATACCAGAATCTATTAACACCTGCTGGACCTGGATGTTAAAGCTCATAGACTGATTTTATAGTCCGTCACAATACAACGTGTGCGTCACTGTTGCTTTACCTGCCAACACACACACCTTTAGGCTCTGAGCAGCTCATTTAAATCATACTGAGGATATAAAATATCATCCAGAGCGTCAATCAAATGTTCCTGAACGTAGAGCGTCCAAATAATGCTGCTGAAACCTGAACGATATCAGCATATCCTAAATGTTGCTCCTTACATTTTTATATTCAGAATAAACATAGTTATAAAGAAAATGAGATCATCTCTGTACTAAAGATACTTGGACACACACACACACACACACACACACACACACAACACAACACAAAGCTAAAAAGTGGACACACTCAGGTAAGGAAACACACACACACACACACACACACACAGATACAACAGCTAAATGAAGGGCAGAGTTAGCCAAAGGGTAGGACATTTCAGACTGGGTTATGTTCTCACACACACACACACAGACGTGTCACCTCCTATAACTCCAGCTGAAGTACACAAGTTCTTTAAAAGCCAACAGGAGTTCATCTGCTGGAAAACAAAAGGGACATTCCAGCACACTGACCTGCTATGCTCACATTAGCATACCCTGTTAGCCTGAGCCATCATTAGTGTGTGTGTGTGTGTGTACAGTGTGTGTATGCTAAAGTGTTAACATGAGTTGAAGTGATTTCAAGGAGAATCATGTTATTACCGCAGTAACCGCGCTGACAACCGATGAAACAGTTTTCATTAACGTCACGTCTGCACTCGGTTCCTCGTAAACAAGCAGACCTGAGCCGGGAGTCAGGCCGGGTCCGGCTTCTCTCCGGTCTGAGCAGGTCTGTGAGGGGATGTTGCTGCAGGTCTCAGGCGTCAATATGTCAAAGCGAACTCTATCTGCTCTCATCAGGTCATCGTCACAGGAGAAAAAGAGTGTGGTTTTTTTTAGGCCGACAGAGCTGAAAGAGGGCAGGAAGAAACGATGCTTCACTGCTCCTTTCTGTTTACACGTTATCAGTGCGGATGCTCACATCGTTATCGGACTCATTGTTCTCGGCGAGGACGGCCGTTAACATGCTGACATTTCTGACTAAAACGTGAACGCACTGCAAGTCAAACTGTCATCGAGTAAAAAGGAAGAGTGTCTACATATATCATGTCCCATCTTTATTAGATTTTATGTACATTTGCTCCAGTCCTTCCTTTAAGAAGAATATTCTGTCCATTTTCATGTCGCTGTGGGAATGTTGTATTTGTTTCTGATGGAAATGAATAAAAGCAGTTTGATGTTGCATAAATAAGAAAGCTACGAGCTGAAGGGGAATCACAGGCTGTAATGAGGATCTTCTCCTCCACCGATACTTTCAGGTAAAGACAAATCTTCTTAGTTTATATGCTGCGTTTTGGAATCAAGAAAGCTCATTTTCATTGGTTCGAATATTTCTTTATGTCTTCACTTCTGTTGGTTGTGTATTACATTTAGCATATAAAAAAAGACTAAAAATCAACTCGAAATGAATCAAAGTCGTCCCACTTCCTGTTTAAACGACCATTTTGTGATCAATAAAAGCAGGGTCCCTAATAGATGCAGGTCTCTTTTAAAAGCCTGTCACATATATAACAATAAAGCAAGGTTCTCCAATAGAGGCCCCTGGTATGGATTTATAGAAATGATCTTCGAAGTATAAAACTCTTAAAACCCAACCAGTCGCCTGCTTTGAGCAAGTTTTAAGTTTTCAATGCCTACCAAATAAAATGATTTAACTTTGTCCATATGTTAACATAATGAACATCATTAATCAGTTATAGTTCTCCTAGTTTAATTCGTTCTCTATATTTTACGGAAAACGATCAACAAACAAATATAACGTTAATTCATCTGACTTACCGGTAACACGGTAAACAAGAGAGACCGAAAAAAACTTCTGAAGCATCATAAATCATCATAAGTTAGATGTCCAAATTTGCTTGAAACAAACTCAAAAGAAGCAGAAGTTAGTATAGTTTAAGTTTTGTGCTAAAGGAATTAAGGCTGTCCCAATAAGCAGGGGGAGTTCAGTGGATTTAAGTAAAATAAACGCCCGGGTATTATTGAAGTTGTACAGTAATTGCCCAACATACACAGTTAGCACTGGCAGTTTTTACATGCTGTGGACCCATACTTTACATTTTCAAGCATAAATTACTACTCAACATTTCGGCTTCACCCAATGAGGCTCTACCAGCAGACACACTTATAACTCTGATTTGGGTGGATTTTTTTAGGATGAATTAATTTGAACAGCAACTTCTCAGCCTTGTTGCTCCAGTGGTTTGGATCTTTTTTAAGCCTCTTCTCTCTCTCTCTCTTTCTCTCTCTCTGCAGACCTCAGCTTTTGTCCAGGGCTTGCCTCACTCTGCTTTACAATCACGTTGTGTGTGGTGTGTGTGTGTGTGTGTGTGTTTGCGCATTTAAAGGATGTTTTTTTGGAAGTGCGTGTGTGTTGTTTATTTACGTGTTGCCCCTTGCAGCGCAAGCAGCAGCCCATCAGCCCTGTTTGTTGGTTCCAGAACAGAGGGGATCACTCGATGTGGACACTTGGCACGTGAACACACGAGTTGTCAAAAGTGTGTGTGTGTGCTCAAAGTCACCCAGAAAAGTTAAGGTTCTGGGGATTTTTAAACAGAGTGTGTCTGACTGTTTTTTATGTGTGTGTGGATGCACAAAATCAGGCTTCTTTCTGGGGTTTACTTTTCCCCTCTCAAACACACACACACACACACACACACACACACACACACACACACAGATGACTCTTATACAGGCTCATTAACTCTGTAGTGCGTTGATTAGCTACTCAACAATCACGCTGTTATTATTACTGGCATCAGGAGAGCCTCTCTTTCCCGCTCTCACACATGTAAGTGAGCGACGTATCGGTGAAGGAGGCTCTCTCAGGACAAAAAGGTTGAGAAAAAACTCTGAGCTGAAGAGGAAAATGTGAAATAAATCAGCCTGTGAGAGATTTTAAACTTATGAAAAAAGAAGAAGTGAGCTTTAATGTCACAGCTAGTTACCAGAGAGGTTGCTGGTTCCACTCCTGCCCTGGGGTACACTGGGTTTTCGTCAGAGCGCTGCTGTAGTCAAATGTGGTGCAGTGTGGTGGTGTTGTGTTACCGATCAGTGTGTAGTGTAACAGTGTGTTGACGTCAGGCAGAGTGACGTTAATGAAGTTAAACACAGTTCAGCTGTCACATATCAGCAGCAGCCTCTGGCCTCAAACCGCCCGCTGAGGGAAACATCACAGATCCTTACATCACCACCCTGAAGCTCACCGATGTTCAGGATTATTCTTCTCAACGCTGAGGCACGCAAAATAATAATAACAACAATGGTTTGGTCATTTACAGATCTTATTATTGATGTTCATATGTTTTTTTTAAGTTGTGATTTTATGGTACTTTTCGTGATTTGCTGTGTTCTGGCTAACTGAGGCTGTGTTTAAACTGGATGCCTCAAAAGAAATCTCATAGAAATGTTTTTTTGCCTAAGATGATTGTAATTTACCTATCCAGCCAAATAAACATAATAATAGAAATATGGCTAATATTCAAAAACACACTAATAGTAAATCTAAAACTCACACAAATGTCCCTCTAATAGTGCGTTCCCAGCTAACACAAATAAAAGGATGAAGACACGAAGAGAGGCGAACATAGAAAAATTAAAAGTGCTGAAAACACGTCGGTTACTTGATTCCAGCTCAAAGTTTCACTTCACTATGAACGAAGTTAGCATAGCCCCGATCAACCTCAACCAAACTCCATTCAGAAAAACAAGCATTTTAAAGGTTGTTTGCTCGTCGTCTTGCAGACGTTTTAGGAATCAGCATCATGATGTAGTTATTTCAGCATCCTTTTGATCTGTTATTGAAATAATATCACTGCAGAACCTGTTTATTTTGGGCTCATACTACCGTAGTAAGGCAGATTAAAGAGCGAATATTTACCCGAACGAGCAAACTTGTGTGAGTAATGTTAACAGAAATAATAATGTCCAGGTTTTCTTCCATGTTTGTTGTCGACAGCTCTTGTCTGTGTAGTGACACTTGGACCAAATATGCTTCAGACATAAAGCAGCAGCACATATTTTAAGATGGACTTGATCTTTAGCAGTGCTTGAGTAAGAAACGTGGACCCCAGACCTGAATCCTTGGTGGTCTTTGTAACAACCTCTAGCAACAGTGTGCGATGTGTGTCTAAAATCCAGACTGGTGAGTTTCAAGTTCAGACACTGAGGACTGTGTGAGTGTTTCTGCAGAGGCAAAGTCTGATTCACTGACTGAGGGATGAAAAACTACCCTGACCAGCAATTGTGTGTCTGTGTGTGTGTCCGTGTGTGTG